AAACGATTACCAAGATTCATTACGCAAGACCAAGTTTTAAATTAGTTGCATTTTGAAGGGGTGGGCGCTTTGCCGAATGTGACCCCAAATATAAAAATTGCGCAAAAGTGGGGGGTGGGCGCTTGCCCGGGCATGGGCGCTAACGCGGTCGAGTACAGTACGTTATCTTTCCCTCACATTGCCTTGTGTACATATAAACCACTCCTGCATCATTCTGAGGTAAAATTCCAAACAAATTCCCAAAAATTTACATTTTGTAAATTCAAATATAAAAACCATTGTGTTACATGATGATTAGGGCCACATATTCATTCGATTATCTCATGAAAGCTTACTTGTGTTATAAAGTTCATGACAAACAAATTTAATAAAACGATACACTTCAGCTTCGATAAACAGTAATTCAGTTATTAGTATAGGTAGAATGGCCATGTGACCAAAATGTTATCATTTTTTTACAGAAATTACACTTATTATTAAATTGTACATATAGTGCGCTTTATAAAATGACAGGATGAACATAAAATATGAAGTCATGTGTCGTGTTGTGTTGCTTTGTAAATATTGTAAAACGTTTAATTTTCACTGCTAGAAATTTTCATGACTTAAGGATTTTATGGCATTTCTAAAAATAAAAAATTTGTAAAATACAATGAAACTATGTGTTGTAGGTCTCCATAACACTTTTCACTGTTACAAAATTTTGTGATTTTTCACTGACTTCTGAAATTCTCGAAAATTCTCACAAAATTGAAGCGGTTTGCACTAAGTTGTCCATTTTGTATTTATAATATTTTATGTGATGCATTGCTAACAACATTAGTTAACACAAATGCATCATGGGTAATATTTTGAGGCATTGTGTGCTCTAACACCTATTTCATTTGATATTTGACATCAGTGCATTCAAAGAGCTCATTGGTGCCTTAGATGAACTGCAGAAGAAAGATTATGGTGATAAACAAAGGGGTGCAACAAGGTACGTTGTCGTTATCTCTGTTTGTTTTCATTCTTAGTAACTACTCTCTTTCTTTGCAACACTGTGTTTTTTTTTTTAATTGCATATTGTTTTCTTGCTGCGGTATATAATAATATTTGGTCCACAGCTGAAATGTTATCAAATGTTTTGAAGGAAAGCTATTTTAAAGTTTGAACCCTAGAAATTTTCTCAGTTTTGGTCATAATAACAAAATATGAAGTTTGCCATTGATATGAGACATAAGTTGTCTGTGATGGAGACTATTATAACAAGCCCCCTTAAGTTAACAGTGAAGGAGACTATTATGACAAGGTCCCTTAGGTTAACAGTGATGGAGACTATTATGACATGACACCTTAAGTTGCCAGTGATTGAGACTATTATGACAAGCCCCTTAAGTTAACAGTGATGGAGACTATTATGGCATGACACCTTAAGTTGCTAGTGATGGAGACTATTATGACAAGGCCCCTTAAGTTAACAGTGATGGAGACTATTATGACAAGCCCCCTTAAGTTAACAGTGATGGAGACAAATAAATGTGACACTGCCATTGCTTTCAAAACGGCCGTCATTACTTGGGTTGTGCTCTCTCTGATATGTTCAGACATTCATTCCTCCATCAAGTTGTTATTAACATATTCTATGAAAATAGATCTGTGCAACATCACAATATAATAAACATTATACCTGATTCTTGATGCTCTGATATCCTGGTATTTTTTGGGGTTACATTCGCTATCAATAAGAAAACCCCCTAACAAATAAGCAGGTATTGTATGGCATATTAGAAATTATTAGTACCGTAAAATCTGTATTAGAAGCCGCATCCCTAATAGAAGTCTCATCCAGACTAATAAATGAGAACCAAAAAATCATCATTTCTCATATGTGTAGATGTTCTAATAGAAGCCGCATCTCCTCTGTTTCATTGTACCATTTTAATAGAAGCCGCAGTTTCTAATACAGATTTCACAGTATTATCAATATCCCAAGTGCCAGGATGTGTGACCTTTAGAGGTCATGGTCGGCCATATTGAATTGATTGATTCATAACAGTTTGTGTACATGTCTGTTATTTCTTCATTGCAGCAAATAAGCTACATATACTGATATACTCAGTTTGTAATATATGACTTGTATGCACGTTATTGTGGTCAACACCTGCAGTGTATGCATGCAGTCTACATGTATTATAGCATGAGTTGAATGGAATAGTTAGACATTGTCTGTATATTCTGTTTTGCTTAGATTATAGTGAATGAAACTTCAAGGAGATGACAGAAAAGAGAAACATTACAAAGTCGTTTGATAACCACCAACTCAAGCTTATTAAGCGGTGTTCTCAAATCTCAAAGTTCACTCAAAAAAATGAAGTGTAATATTTCATGCACAAGTAGGATCCTATGACCTCCCTCCTCTTACACAAAAAGATGATATTTTTACATAAAAACCATCTGTTTTTAATTCTATTTATGTGTTTATGTTCTATACCCATATAAGGTTTGCATGAATACACAGGCTAAAAACTATGCTAATTACAAATCGCTGTTCGCCACCTAGACAGAATGGCCTTTTACCCCTTCCACCAAACGAAGTAGGTTTTGTTTTGGTGAACTTTGACAGATTATTTGTCAACACCCCAACAACAATACTGGAAAAAAATGATCAATATTTACACATTTATCATCAAGAATCTTCTTTCTGTCTTCTTTATTTCGCCTTTGAATTTAAACTGTATTTGTCATTGACGTGAACTCAATTCTACCAACAGATTGAGTCAGATTGAGATCTCCTACTCTGCTAAGTAAGTGAAGGAGTGTTTCCAGACAAGCCTTATTTAATCAGTTTCCTGCAGTCATTATTATCAGCCCCTATGATTCAAACATTTTCTCAACAGCAGCCTTTTCTTCCTGATTATCCACACAATTGAACACTGGAGGGCGCAATTGAACACTGGAGGGCACACTTCATGCTTTTCTTAGTGTCAGCAGTAAACAATAATGAAATAGTCACTCTTCCACTAAAATCAAGTGTTTTTATTAAAACATGTGATAATTAATAGTTTAGAAAACTTTTGTTTCTCGTAGAAAAGTTCTCAATCATTTGTAATATTATTGTTTGCAATATGGATGCTAAGAATTTCAATTGTGCGCCCCCTAGTGGTGAAATAATTTTTTGTTTTTGTTTTTTTCCTTGCATATTCATTACCTGTTTGAACATGCCTCATTTCAATCAACTTAATATCTCTCAGTTGTGACATAAATGCATTAATATTTCTACTTTAGATATCATTAGAGATTACCATTGTACAGTGCCTGACAGTTTGGTTTTAGTTTAATCTTGTATGTTGCTTGTGGTGCATGTTCCATTGTTTGTTTTCAGTATCATTAGATCTAACATTTTCTTCAATGGGATAATAGCTTGAATCAAACTCGCTAGATTTTCTCTCATCATTCACGAAAAAAAAAATCAAATACGCATCAAAATCCCAACTCAAACCCAATTAAATTGTATATGCCCCCTTTAGATCACTAAGTCTTCTTAGGAGGGGCATGTAGAGTTTGAGTTAGGGTTAGAGGATGGGGGTACAGAGGAAACTCTTTCCTCAAATCTGTTATATGAATGTGTAAATTTGTGTAATTGTTCTAATTTAGTGATGAACATGAGAAAATCAACAAAACATGAACTGATACATTAGTTGAGCTAATATCCCTATGAAGCTGATCATACTGTGCTTTCTTACATGATAACTTCTGCAGGAATCCACTCATTCCGGGTGTCCTATATGCCACTAAATAAATTAATAAAAATAACAATTTTGTTGCTTGCTTGCTTTTTTGGTTCTCAGGATTAGTAATGAGATTAGCGATGCCCATAAAAATGTCAAGTAAGTCTAACCTCAAGCTAAGAACCTCTCTTTGTCTGCAGATTCTTCTAAAGTTAGTACCACTTGTAGTGACTTAGGGAGCCTTCTTTTCTGTCACTTCATATTGATTGGCTGAATGATGTCACTTGTTCAATGTATGTCAATCATGACACTGGATTTATGATTGGCTCAGATGTGTCAGGTGGTATGAAAGGACCAATTAGGTTCTTTGTCTAAGCCAAAGACTGAAAAGAATGTAACCTCTTATAGCTCTTTGCTAGGCTGCCTCGACTTATGCCTTGTTGATCAATTAGAAATATCTTTTTTATTTTAGCTTGCCTTGCTTTCTGCAGCTTTCTGAATTCTAATCTATGAATGGCCTGTTTTTTTTTTCTTTCAGCATCTCTATGTTTTGTCTTTATTTACTTATTATCTTATGACACTATCAACAAATTTTCTTGTTCTGTCACTACACATAAAAAGTATAATCATGATTCTCAGTATACTACAACTTTTTTGCAAACAATGTTTTCTACATTTGCATATGTATGTCATCTTCATAAATTTAAATATTCATATTATCATTAACTAATCATAATTCATTTATTTGTGTACATTAAATGAACATCTGGTTTAAGGTAAATAAGACACAATACAACAGCAAAATATTCACCAACTTACCCTTTCATTTTCAGCATTCCTTGATTTTCTTAAATTTTAGCAGAATTATAAATTTATGTTTGTAATCATGCAGTTTTCTTTATCAGTCTAACTGATTTTGTTGACACTGTTGTTTATTTTTCAGGTCCAGCCAAGGTTCACAGCAGGATATGCAGGATGTTGCTCGCAGTAAGGCCATTCATGATGAATTTGCTGGCTTACAACTTGAAGATCTGGAAATTGTAGCAACTCTTGGGATGGGTGGATTCGGCAGAGTTGAGCTGGTAATATTACTATTCAAATGAGTTGAATTTAAAGACGCAACCCTTGCGCTATGTTTGTTTTGTGATTTGATTCAAAATGGCTGACTGTATGGTTTGCCATATTAGATCTATTTGTACTATCATAATAGTATATGTTCTGATGTGTTGTTCTTTTCATTGACATTTGATAATTTTGACCCCCCCCCCCCCTCAAAAAAAACACACACCAAAACTCAACATATAAATCACATCTGAACTATGTATATATTATGAGGTTATTACGAGGATATCGTAAAGTATGCACAAAGACAGTACAGTGGAAGTATTGACCAATGCGCATACTTTGAGGTATTCTCGTAATAACCTTATTATTATACATCTTTTCCTTTCAAGGATACATCATGGGAGTGTTGAAATCCCAAATGTTTAGAACAGAATCAGCAAACTTCTTTGTGTGGAGTCCGGTCAAACCCTGGTGGCAACCATGTATGTTTTTATTATTAGAGGACGCTTATGTGCGTAATCATTCCATATTTGGAATTCGTATTTCCTTATATGGTAGGATTAAAATACCCCGTAAAATACCGCAAAATTACGGCACGCTATAACTTATGCCGTTACGGTGACACATGTATAATAAATGTTTATATTAAAAAAAAATGTCATTGAATTGTGCATGTGTGCTATTTTTTTGTTTCTATAAAATGTTTGTGTTCTGAAATACAAAATGTGTGCATGACTTGTTGAATCATATAATACTGAGTTACCTTATCACAAGTGGTGGCAGTTATCAAATGGTAAAAATGTATTGGAATTACATTCTTTATAAAATATTAAAGTGATTTACAAATGGAAAAGTAAATTTACAATCTGTTAAGTCTACTATAGGGCAGTGTGTGTGTTATTTAATATCTTGTTAAAGTAAGAAATTCTGGACCTAACAATTTTTTTCAATCGTTTTGATACAAAAAAAAACTTAAGCCGAACAATTTTGTTGCGGCACTTTTGATGTTGTTTCTGACATGTTTCACTGTTGCAATATTAATTTGCATTCCGGTAATCACAGTTTTAATTTCCTTAAGATTAACTTTTTATCCTCGGCTTTGAACAGATTTGGATTGCACCAGGTCGTGCATATGCCCCTGTTGTCATATAATATAACCAGTTCTAACTAATTGTTAGGTAGAAAATACTTGACTATAATAACTAGAGTTATGGTCAATTTCAATTTTTCAAAAATAAAATGCAACCCAATTTGGTTAAACTTCATGAAAAGCTTAACATGGTCAACACTGAGGTTATAACACCAATATCTTAGTTATAATCCACCAATGCCCGAAAAATACCAGGATGTGTGACCTTTAGTGGGGTCATGCATAAAATACCAGGATGTGTGACCTTTAGTGGGGTCATGCATAAAATACCAGGATGGGTGACCTTTAGTGGGGTCATGCATAAAATACCAGGATGTGTGACCTTTAGTGGGGTCATGCATAAAATACCAGGATGTGTGACCTTTAGTAGGGTCATACATAAAATACCAGGATGTGTGACCTTTAGTGGTCATGCAATGGGTGTACCATATTTGCTGTATTAGAAGTGTATGCTTATGTAAAAGACCTGTTAAAAAGTATAAATTGATCAGTTTGGTTGATGTAAAATACTAAACAATTGGCTTGCAATAAAGTATTATATTGCAGCCGTATTAGAACATTGCCAGTATCTGTTGCTGCTAGTGATCTACTTTTGTTTGTATTTATTTCCTCACCTGAATACATTCACATTATAAAAACAATAACTCATTCATAACAAAACCATTTTTTTATTTCACTGACTTAATCATTCATATTTGTGTGACATTTAGGTTCAACTTTCTGGTGAGACAAAGAAGACATATGCCTTAAAGTGCTTGAAGAAGAAACACATTGTAGATACCAGGCAACAAGATCATATATTCTCAGAGAAAAAAATTATGATGGAAGCCAATTCCTATTTTATTGCCAAGTAAGTCTGGGTTTCTTGAAGTTGCAGCGGTTAGAGTAAGGGCCTGTGACGCATTCACCCAGGGTATTGTAGCATTGGCTTCCCTATTGAGGCTGACACACTCACCCAGGGTATAGTGGCTTTGGCCTTCCCATTCCTATTGAGTTTGACACACTCACCCAGCGTACAGTGGCTTTGGCCTTTCCATTGAGTCTCGCACACTCACCCAGGGAACAGTGGCTTTGGCCTTCCCATTGAGTCTGACACACTCACCCAGGGCACAGTGGTATTGGCCTTCCTATTGTGTCTGACACACTCACCCAGGGTACAATGGCTTTGGCCTCTCCATTGAGTCTGACACACTCACCCAGGGTACAGTGGCATTGGCCTTCCTATTGAGTTTTACACACACACTCACCCAGCGTACAGTGGCTTTGGCCTTTCCATTGAGTCTGACACACTCACCCAGGGTACAGTGGCTTTGGCCTTCCCATTGAGTCTGACACACTCACCCAGGGTACAGTGATATTGGCCTTCATATTGTGTCTGACACACTCACCCAGGGCACAGTGGCATTGGCCTCCCTATTGTGTCTGACACACTCACCCAGGGTACAGTGGCATTGACCTTCCCATTGAGTCTGACACACTCACCCAGGGTACAGTGGCATTGACCTTCCCATTGAGTCTGACACACTCACCCAGGGTACAGTGGCTTTGGCTTTCCCATTGAGTCTGACACACGTACTCACCCAGAATACAGTGGCTTTGGCCTC